TATAAGGTGAAAGAAGATATTTTTCAGCCAGCTGTCCCCGACTCTCTGCGCCCTCTGCCCGAGAAATCCACCTCAAAGATATGCCTGGAGGAATCGACTGATGGAAGCATTGGGCAGTGTACGTCGAAGGCTTTCTCTCCTCCCCTTAGTTCTTTGCTTTCATATTTTGTTATTGGGTTGTAAGGAATGAATGATACTTGCTTTGTGCTTGTTTATTTCGAACCCCACCATGAACTAATCCTATTTGGTAGGAGTTCGCTTGGATATTTAAGTTTTATTTCAATGAATGGTTGTTTTTATATGCTTTAATACGTTTTTTTTATGAAACTTAATGTTAAGGTTGTAAGAGCTATGAGAATAGCCTTTCCTTAGGAGGTTCTTAGGGTTCGAGTGCCTTGGCAAAATATCTTTAGTCTTCGAGAGAAGCTAGGGAGGAACTATATAAACAAGGGGTTCTAAGTAGTAACTAGGATTAATCCATCTTAGAGATAAGGGTAGGATTTCATTCGACTAAAAGGAGTTGTACAAAAAAGATAGGTTAGATGTTAATGCTGCCGCAAAAAGGTATTGCCGAGACATTTCATGTTATTTGAACCAATAGGATCACTGCAGGGGTTTAGGCCAATCGGATTTGTCAGGACATCTTTAATCTGTTGAGTCCCTTACTAGAGATAGCATAGGGCACCTCTGTAGACTCTGTCGGGCAGGTTAAGCATAGAGGAAATACCATTCAGAGAAATAAACTTATATTTTCCTAGTGACTCCTACCTCTCATTCCCATAGCAGGTTGTCGTGTGAGAAAGCTAAAGTCCTATATATATTAAATCTAGTAATTGTATTTTATTTTGCCTTGACATTTCCATTTGTTTGCATGCATCACAATTTAATTTTCCACAACATAATCAATTGCTACCTCACTGCCATCATCCATTTCCACATCAGTCATTCCATATTGCCACAACATTCTCATTTGTATATACCATTACTAACTTTACTTAGGTGACAAAGTAAAGTGCCTTGACAAACCTATTTGATTTCCCCAATTCCCTATGGAGAAGATACTCAACTTATCACTGTATTACTTGTTCAATTGTGTATACTTACACATATATCCGCACTCATTTTATAGTACCCACAAGAGTAGACAAGTTTTTGGCGTCGTTGCTGGGGACTTGGCAACTGGAAGTTAAATTGATTTGTAAAGAGCCATTAAAACTGATTGATCCTGAAATCGAGAGGTTTTTTAGACAAAGAAGACGCGCTCAACGTATAAACATGTATCAACTCAGAAATCAAGGCATTGGTCATGAGGAGGATCAGAATGTCGGGGCAAATTTAAATGATGGGAATACAGCCAGACATCGTGCCATTCGTGATCACTTAAACCCGATCTTAGATGATTTAAATTTCGGAATAGTGGCCCCAGAAATTCAGGTAACCCACTTCGAGCTGAAACCTGTCATGTTCAATATGTTAAATTCAATAGGACAGTTTGGAGGTAGGCCAAATGAATATGCCAGACAACATATTCGTAAATTCTTGGAGGTATTTGGCCAACAAGGGGTGCACAAAGATGTTCTGAAATTAAAGTTGTTTCCGTACTCCTTGTGTGATCGAGCCAGGACGTGGTTGAGTGGCATTCCAGCAGGTTCAATGGAGTCGTGGATAGATCTGTGCAAAAAAAATTTGCTACGGTATAATCCTCCGAATATGAACACCCAATTGAGGAATGACATTGCTTCCTTCCGTCAAGCTGATAACGAGTCGATGTATGAATGCTGAGATCGATACAAGGCATTACTTCGCAAGTGTTCAAACCATGGTTTTCAAGATTGGACACAAGTGGTGATGTTCTACAATGGAGTTAACGCACCCACGAGGATGATGCTAGATGCCTCGGCAAATGGGACGCTACTTGACAAATCACCAGCAGAGGCATTTGACATTCTGGATAAGATTGCCACTAATGATTATCAGTTTCCATCCAAGCGGCTTGGAGCTAGATGCAAGTCACACGGAGCTTTCGAGCTAGATTCTAAAGATAACGTGTCCGCCCAACTTGATGCTATCACCAACATGTTGAAGAATTTGCAAAGGCCAAGTGAGGTGAGAGAAGTGAAGGCAACTCATTCAGTATGTTTATTATGCCACGACAATCACAATGAGAGTGACTACCCAACCAATCAAGAATCCATCAACTTTATAGGCAACTTCAATCGAGGCAACAACAACCCTTATTCCAACACATATAATCCTGGATGGCGTCAACATCCAAAGTTTTCGTGGGGAGATCAAGGATCCAGCAATGCTCATCAACCAATTCGATAGCAGAATTTCAATGACTCCCAGGGATTTCAATCGAACATGCCATGGCATAATTCTAATAAGGGAGGGCCATCTTCATCAAACACGAGTTCTTTGGAAGCCACAATGCATGAGTTTATTGCAATAACAAAAACAATGTTGCAAGTCCTTGCAACCTCCATCAAAAATCAAGGAGCCCTGCTTCAAAGCCATAGTTCGTCGCTAAGGGTGCTGGAGAGTCAAGTTGGTCAAATTATCGCGTCATTACAAGAACGCAAACCAGGACGTTTGCCGAGTGACACTGAAGTCACCAAACCTCATGGCAAAGAGAACTACAGTGTGCTAACTCTCTGAAGTGGTATATAAACTAATGTGAAAGACAAGTTTGGGGGAAGACCGAAGGATGATTCACCCCCTATAACCAAGCAAGCTGATTAAGAAGTGCAAGAAGAAACACCAGTGGATGAGGAAAAGGCTGAGGAGTCATCAAGTAAAGAACCTGATGGGGCAAATAAAAATGCCAAGACTGCTTCTGTTCACACCCCGTCAGTATAGGAAGCCAGACCCCCACCTCCGTTTCCACAAAGACTGAAGAAACATAACGAAGATATCCAATTCAGAAAATTTGTTGACATTCTAAATCAACTTCAAATCAATGTTCCTTTTCTAGAGGCTATGGAACAAATGCCGACATATGCCAAATTTCTCAAGGAAATTGTTACTAAGAAGAGAAAGGTTGAGCAGTATGAAACAATTGCCACGGCAAAAGAATTTTGCTCTTCCTTAAGTAAGCTGCCACCAAAGAGACATGATCCGGTCATTTTTATCATCCCATGTTCGATAGGAGACAAATTTGTTGGGAAGACATTATGTGACCTTGGCTCAGGTGTGAACTTGATGCCTAAGTCAATATTTGTAAAGCTGGGGATAGGAAATGCGAGACCCACCTTGGTCATCCTACAATTAGCCGATCGTTCACATATTTGACCAGAGGGGCGAATTGAAGATGTCATCGTGCGGGTTGACAAGTTCATTTTCCTGTCGATTTTTTGATTCTAGGCTGTGAGGTCGACGCCACAGCGCCCATCATATTGGGGAGACCCTTCCTAGCTACCGGTCATATTCTCATCGACTGTGAGAAGGGCAAGCTCACTATGCGAGTGGCCGATCAATATGTCACTGTAAATGTTTTCCGATCACTCAAGTACATGGATGATTCTGAAGAATGCCAGAGCATTCTTGAAGTAGATACAGTAATTGCAAAAGAAGCAGATCAATTTTGCCATGACAATTTCATTCATCTGGATGATAATGAGAGGCTACTGGAAGACTTAAAGGCCGAAGAGCCTAACGATTTTTCCTCCAAGGAACAACAAGCTAGCTTTCTCAAGACTAGCTCATGTACGAGTTTTGAACCTTTGAATTTCGAAGAATGTGTTCCTGCCAAGCCCTCATTACAGCATGCTCCTACCCTAGAACTTAAGAAATTGCCACAACATCATAAATATGCTTATTTGGGTAGTGACGAAACTTTATCTGTGATTATTTCCTCTGCCCTCACTCCCAACCAAGAATCGAGTTTGTTAAGTGTTTTGTCACAGCATAAGAAAGTGTTAGGCTGGACGATGGTAGATCTCAAGGGAATAAGTCTAATAATCTACATGCACAAAATCCTACTGAAAGAATGCCACGACAAATCCATAGAGTCGCAGCGAAGATTGAACCCAATCGTGAAACAAGTTGTGATGAAAGAGATTCTCAAATGGCTCAATGTTGGAGTAATTTACCCCATTTCGGATAGTTCATGGGTGAATCCCGTTCAATGCGTGCCAAAGAAGGGAGGCACGACCGTGGTGACAAGCAAGGACAATGAATTGATACCTACTCGCACGGTCACCGGGTGGCGAATTTGCATGGACTACCGCAAGCTTAACAAGCCCACCAAGAAGGATCACTTCCCTTTTCCGTTCATCAATCAAATGTTGGATCGACTTGTTGGCAAGACATTTTATTATTTATTGGACGGTTACTCAGGGTATAACCAGATTACCATCACACCAGAGGACCAAGAGAAGACCACATTCACGTGCCCCTATGGCACATATGCTTTTCGAAGAATGCCTTTTAGACTCTGTAATACCCCGACAATAGGCATGTAAATGAACCGAACGCACACGAACGGAGGTATGCTCATGTTCGTTCATTTAATAAATAAGCGAACATAAACGAACAAATTGTTTTTGTTCATGTTCGTTCATTAAGGAATATAGCTTGTTCATGTTCGTTCATTTAATAAATAAACGAACATAAACGAACACGAACATAAACGAACACAAACATAAATGAACACGAACATAAACGAACATAAACGTTGGAGACCCTACCTTCCATTGTTCTTTCATGAAAAATAGTCGACAATGCAAATCAACCAAATCTACAGTGATAATAGCGTAAGAGCTGATTAACAGTGATGAAATGTTTGAAGATATCAAATATTTCAATTAATCTTCTTAAAATACAAATAACTTCAATAATATTCGTAACATATTCAACTTGTATTCATGATCAGTCGTTAATTCATCATCCATCCTGATCAAAATCAAACATATAAAATTATATTAAATTAAAGGAGTTATAACAAAAGATAAAAAAAATACTAAATTAGCGAGGTTATACCAATTCATTTATCCTCATTTTCAAGGAAGCTCAACGTGCATGATATCTTCGTTTTGCTACAACAAATCAAAAAACCAAAAATATATTAGTCATTGTAAAACCAAATTCAATAAAACTTAAGACATAAAAATACCTTGTTTTTATTTTTCTCCAACTCATAGTATTGACGATACCAATCAGCTCCACAAACAAGCATATCTACCATCTTAGTTCCTAGAGAGGATCGATGCGGATCAATAACCCTCCCACCAGCACTGAAAGCAGATTCAGAAGCAACAGTAGTGACCGGAATTGCCAATATGTCAGCAGCCATTTTTGACAAAATGTTAAATTTAAGATTGTTCTCCTTCCACCATCCCAATGCATCAAAATATACACCAGACTCACCAATTAAAACTCCTTCCTACAAATAAGTGTCCAATTCTGACTTGACAAATGTAAAAGTATCGACACTTCTAATATGTTGGTCATATTTAGCTGTGCCAGTTTTAATACCTTTACCAAACTGACTGAATAAGGAGCTAACACTACTCTTAGAAGTACCACCAATACTAACACTTTGACTCCCATCAGTAGATGAAACAACATTTGCTGCTTTATGAACCTCAACATATTCTTGGTACAACTCATATAAAATACATCGAACTATTTGCATTTCTCTCGAAGCCTCATCATTTGAATAAATAGTATGGAAAGAAAACTCAAGCAATTTCATTCTATACCCGATAAAGAGAATGACATCAATTAGAACTCAAATAAATTCATTAAAATAAAATTCAAACAACTTAAATTTATACATGGGATCTAAAATGGCACCAATTGAAATTAACAAGTTACAAGTACCCCATTACTTGTCAAATTTTTTCTTCATCTTCATAGACATAGCTACCATGTAATCACTTCCTCCTAAAACTACTGCATCCAATGCTTCTTTTATCCCAAACAATTCGCTAAGAAATAAATTGGATGTAGGATATTCGAAACCTATAATATTAAAATAATAATTAGTATTAAATTCTTTGTATTAAAAATTAATAAAAAGAAATCAAGTTATACCTGAAATGATTTTGTAGCTTCATTGAAAAGTGCCAAGAATGAGCAAACCTCTTCAACTTTTTTCCAGTCTTCCTCGCTCAGTAAAGTAGTGTATGTAGACTCTCGATCGACATAATTCACAAACACTTCTTTGAACTCTAAAGCAGTAGACAACATAGCATATGTAGCATTCCACCTGGTACTAACATCTAAAATCAAGTGCTTTTTTGGCATTGAAAGTTGTTTGGTGAGTTCACTAAAAATATGCAATCGACCCGGAGAGGCATTGACATGTTTCACACTCTCACGAACATTATGAATTATGTCGTCAATTTCTCCAAGACCATCATGAACTAACAAATTAAGAATATGTGCACAACACCGCACATGAAATAATTTTCCACCGACATCAAGTTTCTTCTAAAGATTCAAATTTTCCATCAATTTTCTAGCCACCACATCATTAGTCTTAGCATTGTCCACTGTCAAAGTCACCACCTTTGTCTCAATGTTCCACTCCTTTAGACACTTAAAAAGTGAATCATAGATACATACACCAGAATACGGTGGAGGCACGTCAACAAAACTTAATATGCGTTTGTGAAGCTTGAAATCAGAATCTACAAAATGGCATGTAACTACCATGTAATGGATGTTTTGATTCGATGTCCACATATCTGTAGTGATGCTCACACGCTTGACAGAATCCAACAATATTTGAACTCTTTTCTTTCCAATCTCATAACTGGAAATACAATCTTGTTTAACAGAAGCACGTGAGATCTTGTTAAATCCTGGATTTGCTTCTTTCATTACCACATTAAACAGTCCATACTCCACAAAATTAAAAGGTAATTCATGAACCATGATCATGTGGGAAATAACCTCTCTCATCTTTGCATTTTCATACTTCTAATTTCGAACCATAGATAAAGAATATGATTTGCCAGGCTGCACTTTTAAACTTAATTGACCTCTGTTAACCACTTTCAACTTTGGACAATCACCAATATGCCTATGCAACGGTGTGGTGGTTCCATATTTCATTTTCTTAAACTTTTCTCCACAATGGCTACATTCACACAAGTCAGTTCCATCATGCAACTTTACCATCCAGAAATGTTCCCAAACTCCTGAAGTCTTCTTTCTCTTCCTTCTAGTGAATGGAGTTGGTTCTTCATTATTGGTTACATCAATGTGTTCTACACTAGCTGTAGCTGCTGCATCTACTTCTTCGTTATCAGTTGTAATAAAAACATCTGGATTTTGTGTACTTTCCATGGTTAGAGTGTTGGTACTTGACTCAAATTCAGTTGATTCAAGTGGCGAATCAGACATCTGTGGTACAACAATGAGTAAATGTTAGCATTAGCAAATAAAAGGATTTTTTCCTATTATCAAATTAAAACAGTAGCATATCAACTAAAACAGAACAGCTAAATTGATATAAAGCAAACACAACGGCAATGGAATGAAACCAACTTGCAGTAGCAACCAGAATAACTAAACCTACTAAAATATGGCATCATAACAGTACATAACACCAAAACATCATCAATCTTCAACCCATCTCAACATCAATCCACTCCCCATATCATACTAACACCAATACAAACCAAGCATGTATATGGAGTTATAACAAAGTGGACATCAATTCCGATATACCGCAAACACAACACCAAATGGATACATCGACTCAGTAAAAAAAACCATATTCATCGAACATAAACAACCTCCCCACATGGGCATAAACGAAGGGAGATAATGGAGTTTACCCTATAATTAAATTAATAAAGTTGAGGACGAAAAAGATAATTTTAGTATAATCAGAATTGGAGATAATGGATCCAAATGTATTAATAATCGTCCAAAATTACCAACTCTCCAAATATAATAATAAAAAGGGAGTAAAGTAAATGAGAATTTGACAAAAGTCGATAGGGAATTGCAATGCAGCAATTGAGTTGGCTTATGAACTGCACCCAAACAACCATCCATTTGGAAACCATTCACAAAACAAATCAAACACACACGCATAAAAAAACTAGGAAAAAAATTCTTTCATCCCTAGTATTTCTATCTTAATTCCTCTGCACATATGTTAATCTTTCTACGAATCCAAGCAAAATGAAAGAAAAAAAAATTAATGGATATATGATATATCTATTTTCATATCAACCAGATTAAACATGTTGAGGATCATCGTACAGCGTTCGACATCCAAAACCGGCTTTCAGGCAAGGAGAAGAGGGATAATAAATCATGAATAATCAAATAATAAAATAGTTTTTCCTTCTCTTTCCCCCCTGAAATGGCGATGAGTTTTACAGAATTGAAATATACGTAAAAGGCGAGAGTTCATACCATTTGAGGAACGGGGAGAAGCAATCCAAAGAGCAGAGCAGAGAGAGAGATGATCGGAGAGAAACAATAAAGAGATGAAAACGAGGGGAAAGGCTTTGATTTTTTATGGAATATTACAATGCTTTTTAGAGAGAGATGATCGGAGAGAAATAATACGAGGACAGTTTCAGGTTTTCCAACCTTGATTTGGCTATCAAGAACGGCTGAATGACGGGCTGGAGAAGAGTTGAGAAAATATTGTTTTTAGATTTAGGTTTTTTTGTATTACCGCTTAATCAGGTTGTAAAATTGGGTTAATTATGAAGTTGGTCATCAAAATATCATATTAATTAATATTTTTAAGATACATACAAATTGGTCACCAAAATTGATTTAAGAATATTATGTTAAACATAAATGAACGCACATAAACGAACATAATTGAACACATATAAACGAACATAACCGAATGTTCACGAACGTAAATGAACGAACGAGACCTATGTTCATGTTCGTTCATTTAATTAAACGAACACAAAATCTTGTTCACGTTCGTTCATTTAATAAATAAACGCACATAAACGAACTTCCCGCCGCACGGTTCATGAACGGTTCACTGAACATTCAGTTCATTTACAGGCCTACCCGACAACTTTTCAGCGCTACATGCAAGCCATATTTTTTGATATGGTTGAGGATTATCTTGAAATTTTCATTGATGATTTTTCTGTTTCTGTGACGACTTTCAAAAATGCCTCGGCAATTTTGCAAAGGTATTGAAGCGGTGCGAGGAGGCTGATCTCGTACTGAATTGGGAAAAATGCCATTTCATAGTGACCGATGGCATTGTTCTAGGACATAAAATCTCAGCAAAGGGCATTGAGGTAGACAAGGCCAAGATCGAGGTGATTGAGATACTCTCCCAACCAAATTTTTTCAAGGGCATTCGGAGTTTCCTTGGTCATGCTGGGTTTTATAGACGATTCATCAATGACTTCTCCACACTATCCAAGCCCTTGTGCACCCTGCTGCAACAGAACCAACCGTTCGTGTTCGATCAGAAATGCCATGGCGTATTCAAAGAGCTGAGGCAAAGACTTTTCTCTGCATCGATCGTAGTTCCCCCATATTGGACGGCCCCATTCGAATTAATGTGTGATGCAAGTGATTTTGCCGTGGGAGTTGTGCTTGGGCAACGTAGAGGTAAAATTTTTCATGTGATTTATTATGCTAGCCGCACTTTAAATGATGCACAATTGAATTACACAACCAATGAGAAAGAATTACTTGCTGTGGTATTTGCATTTGACAAGTTTAGGCCATACTTGATAGACACAAAGGTCATAGTTCACACCGATCACTCCGCTATAAAATATTTAGTGAAAAAGAAAGATGCCAAACCTAGACTGATTAGGTGGATATTACTCTTGCAAGAATTCGACTTAGAGGTAATCGATAGGAAAGGTACTGAAAATCAGGTTGCAGACCGCTTATCTAGGCTAGAGAACATTTCAGAATTCTATGACATTTTTTATATTAAAGAAGAATTCCCTGACGAGAAAATTTCATATGCTACAGCAATTTCGTGGTACGCTGACCTTGTTAATTTTCTTGTTAGTGGTGTTTTTTCTTATGAACTAAACAGCCAGGGCAAAAAGAGGTTTTTGCATGATGCCAAGTTCTATTTTTGGGACGAGTCTTACTTGTTCAAGCAATGTGTCGATCAAATGATTCGACCGTGCACCCCCGAAGAAGAGCAAAGTGATATCTTACACCATTGCTACACATCGACCTGTGGAGGGCATTTTGGAGGTTCGAGGACTGCTACAAAGGTCCTCCAATCGGTCTTCTATTGACCATCACTATTTAAAGATGCCCACGAATTTTGCAAAGCGTGTGACAGATGGCAGCGCACTGGAAACATTTCCGGACGACACGAAATACCGCTGCAAAATATTCTGGAGATAGAACTTTTCGATGTTTGGGGCGTTGATTTCATGGGACCATTTCCCATCTTCCTTTGGAGACTTATACATTTTGCTTGCGGTGGACTATGTTTCAAAGTGGGTCGAAGCAATTGGTACACCAAGGAACGATTCTAAGACAGTGCTCAAATTCCTTCACAAGAACATATTCACTCGATTTGGAGTCCCAAGAGCCATCATCAGCGATGAGGGCACTCACTTTGACAACAAGCTAATTGCCAAAGCATTACAGAAATATAGAGTACGACATAAGATTGCCACGGCATATCACCCGCAGACAAATGGGCAAGCTGAAGTGTCCAATCGAGAAGTCAAACAAATCCTTGAGAAGGTAGTGAACTCTCGAAGGAAAAACTGGTCCCCCAAGCTCAATAAAGCATTATGGGCCTATAGGACGGCATTCAAAACACATCTGGGAATGTCACCTTTCAAGATGGTATATGGAAAAGCCTGCCACCTACTAGTTGAACTAGAACACAAGGAATACTGGGCAATCAAGAAGCTTAACTTTGACGAGCAACTTACTGGGGAGAAACGATTGCTTGATCTAAATGAAATGGAGGAGTTTCGAGCGCAAGCATATGAAAATGCCAAGCTCTACAAGGAAAAAACCAAAAAGTGGCATGACAAAATGCTTTTTCCACGTCATTTTCATGTGGGCCAGAAAGTGTTGCTTTTCAACTCAAGGCTCAAACTCTTCCCTGTAAAACTGAAGTCACGTTGGTCAGGACCATTCAAAATCCATCATGTTTACCCATACGTTGCTGTTGATATCAAGAACATGGACGATGGATCCATCTTTCAAGTCAATGGCCAGCGCCTAAAGGCCTACCAGGAAATCCCACCTGCGCGTGACAAGTAGGCGCTGCTCTTGCACGACGTCGACACTGGTCCGACATCTTAAGGATGTCGTGGCATTTTAATTTTACTTCTGTACATAAATTATTCTTGTCTTACCGTTATTTTTAATATTTTTTATTTTAATTAATTATTTTTATTGTATTTTTGCAAGGGTTAACCCACATGGAGAGCACGTGAGTTTTATGGAAGAAGCTTGGGAAAATTTTTACCCTTTTGACTTTTGACTTGAGGGATTGAATTTTTTTACTTTGTTTCTTTCCTGCCTAGACCCCACCTTTTTATAACATGTCCCCACAAAAATATTCACTTTGTTTATATCATTTTTTCACTTTTTACCTTATTTCTTTCAACTTTCACTTTCTATCTTCTTTTTTTCCTTTCCGTTTGACCGATCCTCCATAACCGATCACAATCCAAGCTTTCTTCCTCATTTTGTATTTTATTTTCACGATGGTCCGATCACGACCCCCTCCACTACCCTCGCCACCACGATTTATAGATGATGCCACCCGCGAACGGTTCCAAACTATCAAGAACCGACACGTCTTTTTTGAGTTGGGGTTTATCTTCTCTGAGGAGGAGGATGCCGACTTAGGGAGAGAGGTGCTCTATGTGGTCACCAAACATAAGTGGAAAAAATTTGCCAAGCATCCCGCCGCCATCAACGCAATCATAGTGAAAGAGTTTTATTCAAACATCACCGAA